ACGAGGATCCACATGTTATGATGGGTTGTGTGCAATTTGCTTCTCTGACTTCCCTTGTTCGTACACTTCACACAACACTCACATGCCCGCTCTCTTCACTATCACCCCCAAAGTTTTTTATTTTATTTTCCCGAGTAGGTTCACTTGTCTACTCTCATTAATAATTAATGGGTAGAAAACATTTTTTTTTGTAACAATGGAATAGAAAACATGGTTAAATATGTTCATTAAATCTTCATTAATGTGCAATTTAATAAAACGTAACGTACGTAATAAAAACAAAACTAACTAAACAAATAACAAAGTGAGACATATGATGAAAAAGGAACAGACATAAATAAATTATATGTACTCTTTTCGCCTTTCGGCATTTCCCTAATTTAAGAAAGCTTAATGATTATGAATTTATTATATCAAAGGAAGAAAGAAAAAAGGTAGCCGTTCATGGGCCATTAGTCGACATTTTTATTTTTTTTTATTTTAATTAACTTATCACTTATATATATATTTTACGTTAAATAAATTGTTTAATTGGTAGCGTACTCAAAACTGTATAAAAGACTTTAAACGGAAATAATAAGCTTTTACGGAATAGTGCAAAATTATAAATAAAATAGTATATAAAAGATGTAAAAAAAGCAGAGAATAAAAGTTTTAATAAAGTTTTTGAGATTGGTAAAAATATAAACCGTAGTCTTTGTAAAGTTTTTTTTTGTGTCACCAATCAAAGCCATAGATATTTTTGTTAGATCAAATTGAATATAATTTCTTAAATAGCACATGTTTATATTTCATCTTCTCAAAACATTATATTTATCCCTAACTATAAAATATTATCTATAAAACTATACAATATTTGTTAAGAATTATTAACCATCCATCAAGAAACAAACCTCTTAGAGCATCATAGAAACAAGACATATATATGTATATATCGTCGATTAAAATATACTTTGATTGATAAAAAAATAAATTAATTTAATTGTGTATATTATCAAAAAATATTTGAGAAATAAATATAGAGATTTACATGTCTAGGTAAGGCCTGAAGGACCAAATGACAAAATTTGAATTTTTGGTTTTGTACATTTCTTTTTCGCAACAATTATTAGTTTTGTAATAACGTGTTACTCTACATTTATATTCTCATTTACTAGAAATATGAACCTTTCTACTATGTGTGGGGATCCCTTCATCGTTTTGGGGTTAAACACATGGTCAATAGTTAATTGGTCACATAATTCACTATTTACCCGTCTATTTCCACCACGATAATTGATATATTTTCCTGATATTTTTTTTTTTGTAATGGAACCATGAGTCAATTTACCAACTACCAAGAGATATCAAAAAGCTAGTCAAACACGAGATGTATTGTTTCTATAATAAATTTAAAAAAAAAAAAAAAAAAAAAAAAACCAACAAGAGAGGTCTAATTCTTGACACCATTATCAAAATGAACCAACCAATAACACTATTAAACAGTAAATCTAAATCACATCTTCTTTCATCCTCTTCTCTCCTCACCACTAGGAGTCTAGGACAATGGAATCAGCCCTGGTGGATCTGCACTAAACCTATAGTGCACCAAGCATGCATATAGAAACTGCTGACCATTGCGGTAAACACGCTTATGGTAAAAAAAAATCAGGAGCAATGGATGAAGTTGCAACCGTTGAGTTGATAGGCACGACACCATCATTAATTCAGACTCATTCGTCCAATAACATAGCCATTTATATGATTATGTAGTGTTGATGATATGATAATGCATATTCGAATTTAGTTGTAGATCAAAAACGAAAAAATAGATAAATATTATTATCACTTAAATATTATATATATTTTTATTAAATATAATATCGCTCGTTAAATAGAATATAAAAAAAAAATTCTCTTGAATTGGCAACACTATTTTTGTGGTACCATGAACGTACTTTCATAGTCGAGAAAAGAAAAAAAAAACACAAACAAAAAAAAGCGTACTTAAATATGTGTTCTAAAGAGATCCTAATTATAAATTTTCTATCTAGTAGAAAATATTGATCAAAACATTACACTTCGCCAATCACTGATGCTATAATTTGATTGGACGACACCGTTGACACCGTCACTGATCCTAAAATTTGATTGGATGTCTCCACTTAATCTTGGTGTTCCTCATCTTCACCTTCAGAATCTGCAAGAATTCTCGAAAGTCAAATTGGCTAAGACAAAAAAAATTCCCTGTAATGTAGAATTTCACAAAGAGTGTTATTCTAAGTTGTTGGGTGATATATGTATGAATATATAAATCTAACCGGAACGAATGTCTTTAGCGATATTGCCTTTGGCACGAATTTGGCTTATGAGCACACGACATATCAAGATCCACCAGTAGATGTGAAGAATCTGTAAGCAATAAAGAAGTGTGTTGAAGACATAGTAGAAGACCATAAGGGGTGGTCCAGTTTCCATCAACTGCTTCTTGTCCCAGTACTCCATTTTCACTTTTATTGATTCGTAGCTGCATAAGTCCACATTTAAACGTAGAGATCAACCATAAGCAACATTTAGAAGAGATCAAGTTACATTGCAATATAAACATTAAAAAAAAGTTTATGTTAGGGGTTAGCTAGATGAACCTAGTGCTCCATAGGATCCAGAAAGGGTAATAGATGAGTCGCAAAACGGTCCAGGACAAGAAAAATAGGATAAACGAGACACTAGTCATGGTTTCTGCACCGCTGTATTTGCACATCTTACCCATCTCTAGAAACACGTCGCTGATGTCGTGAAGTGCCAATATTACAGAACCTATACGAGCAAATCTAGTAAAGAAAAGGAGGAAATTAAATTTAAGAGTCTGCTGCTTTATGCGGAGATCGTTGATGTCATTGAATTACTATAGGAATGTATAGGTACGTACGTACCTGAAAACGTAAGACAAGATGATGAGGAATGAGGTTACAATGTGATGAACTAACATAACTTTGAAATCAGATCGTCTTGTTTCCCAAAAGAACAAAGCAAAAAAGGCATATACATTTAACCCTCCAACAAACATATACAATCCCTTCATTTTCAACCTGCGAAAAAAGCCGGTAGTAAACTCAAAAGAAAGAAGAGACTAGGGCTTGCGGCTAACTTAACCGTTCTTGAGTCTCACGTAAAACATTAAGTTAAGGTTATTCTTACTTTATCTTTTGATCAGGCCAATTATGGTCTCCTGGTCCTAACCAGAAGCATCTTGTGTCTTTAAACCATGGCTCTTGATAAGTGACGTGGAGAGCAAAAGCTTCAACAGAGAGAGAGCACAGCCATTTCCAAGCCGATTCTTTGAATTTCACTATCTTCTTTCTCCTCTCGTTTGAATCAGCGCATTCTCCTCTAGGATACACCAGCCGTCTAGCGACTCTCTGTGATGCAATTTTGAACCACTCCACTCAGATAGGTTTCTCATAAGCGGTTACTTGCTTCCCAAGTCATAATGAATACTAAAGAGATAGAAAACAGAACAGAATCTATCTAGCGGGTTACCTCGAATATGAATCTGTCGAGGATTAGGCGAAGAAAAAAGAAGAAGGGAGCAAAGAAGATGAGGACCCGGAAATCAGAAGAAGCTGGGTAAGACTCTTGATCCCAATCCCGAATCAAGAGTTTCAGATCCATCTAGTCAAGATCTTGCAGAAGAACTACATCTTTGGTGTAGCATTACTCTGTTTATCACTTCTTCATCGGAGTCAACCCTCTAAAATGGGTAGAAATTAAAACTAAAAGATAGTAATCCCACTTGGCTTTACTTTTGTTAGAGGAAATAAAGAATGCTATTACGTGATTCTCCAAGTCAGACAGCACAAAAGATGAGTAAACCGGGCCAAACCCTGATCAAACCATCAGGTACCAACACCGGTTTTAGCCCCAATTCTCTTAATAATGAGAAGAAGTCTTTACATTGACTTCTTGATGCACATGCACTTCTTGTTCTAGATAATTGGCACATTGATATTTGGCTAAGGTATCCTAATTTATAATTGGCACATTGGTGACATTGTTTTGTTTCTTGGATATTATATAAGAAGTAAAAGAGAAAATAAATAAAAATAAAAAAAGATTGAGTTTGGTTGGTGAAAATGGGTACAGCTGTGAGAGAGAGTACAAATACGTAAACAAAGAATGTCGGATTGTGATTATTATTATTACTAACAAATTTACAAATTATGATATCGTCAGCCGCCGACAACTTCTCTTATCTACTATCAAATCTATTCTTAATATGTTTTCACATTAAAACCCACCATGTTTGTTAAACTTTACGACGTTACAGAGGGCCAAACTAAACACGCTTTTAACATAGCACTAGGAGCTGTCTTTAACCAGACACGATCAATCAAGTTTGAAGTTCATTTCCCTAAGCAATTAACTTGTAGAAACCATTACGAAAAAGTTGGACAAACAAATCTAATGGAATGGGCCGAGTGGTGAGATCAGATAGTTACACACACATACATGATACACCTTCGTTGATCCTTTTAGAAAAACAACAAGGGACATGGTTGTGTTCAACCAATAAGATATCAAACGTATTCATCTACTTCAGTAATCGTACATATCAGCAAACCGTGAAACTTTTTTCTTTTTCTTTACTTGTTATCAAGTTCCATCCTTTTTGGTCTCACCGACGTGCCAACCAAAACTATCAAGCCATTGTCTGTCTGATCGATGCTTTCGAATCTGTGACTTATCAAAATAAGACCAAAAAATATATTAAATGAAACGGTGACACTAGTCTAATAATAGTGACGTACAATGACATTCCACAAGCCACACACACGTAGGGCAATTGATAGAAAGAGACGCACACGAGTAAATCCAACGAGTCCCAACTCCATTTTTCTTTTAGCCACTAACGATTTGTACAAAATTCCTAGCACACATCTCTCCAAACTCGTTAGACCCACATTTTAGATTTTTTTCTTTTTTTTTTTTGTTGTTGTTTACTTAAAGTTATGAGACTCGAATATGTGTTAAAGCTCAAAGCTAAATAAATAAATATGTTTACATTACTCAAACAAGAGTCAAAAGTCAAAACAAAACAACCCTTTTTGTAATAAGGAACTCATCACTCACACACACACACACTTTGATTTGCAAGCTGTCACCAAGAGGGCCTCCATTGAAAGAACATTTTAAGGTGACGCCAGAGAAACAGGAAATGCAATGAAGACAATTTATTCTTGTAAATTGTAAACTTCTGTCTTTATAAACTTTTGGGTTTTGGTGACAGTTGTTTTACTTCTTTTTGTTTTGTCCTTATCTTTTAAAACAAAGAAAATCCAGTTGGGTATTACCTTTCCACTACAATGAGAGAGGAAGCAAAGGCTGCAACCATTTTAAAGACAAGTGAGAGAGGATTGGAGGAGGAAGGAAGAGTATTAAAGGAATGAGAAAGAGGAACAGCTCTTAACCTAATTAAGTAAATGCTTCTTTTTATTCCTTCTTGTTTGTTGAGGTGGGTCTCTCTTCTGATTTCCACCTCAAAAGCTGATCTTTTCTATTTAAGATATAGCCAGTGAATACACATAGTGAGAAGAAAGAGAGAGAGGAGGGAGAGTAGTACAGAGAAGTTTACAAAAACCATATGATTGTTTTCAATTAAGAAGAGCACAGAAAGGACAAGTTCTATAAACCCTGTGAGCTTTGCTTACACATCACTAATGACAGAGCTCAGAAGGATGATGCTTGTTTTGTGGATACTGATGTGTCTTGACCCTAAGACTAGATTACGGTTTGTTAGGAACCAATATATATATTGTTTAAAGAAAAGGTTTTAGTCATATAAATTATATTAAGTTATGTTGAAAAAGAAGAGCATAGGCTTTTAATTCTATATGAGAGAGTGTACTTTATAATGAACAAGGCACTAACCTTCCTTCCCTTCATATATATCTGCAATGGCTTTGTCTGGTAGTGCTTCAATTGAGTGAAAACAATGGTGCTAGGGTTGCCATGTGGTGAAACTTACTCCTTCTCTTCAATTATATGAGGCCTCCTATAGGCTCCGGCTTTTCTTGATACTTCAAAAATACCAAAAAAAAAACAAATTGTATTTATTAATGATGGAAGAGCAAAGCAAATGAGAGACAGAGACACAGTGCCTATATCAGAGAGTAAATTGGTGAAGTGGATTGAAACACATATGGTACGTAACTAAAAGCAAGAGATCTTTTTTTGTGTGCTAATCCTGAAACCTTGGTTTTGTTTTCTTCTTTGTGTTGCTCTCGAAGCCATGGAGTCTCCGAGGAACCATCGTGTCTCTGAGGAGAGTGAGGAATACAGCAGTTGTGAGTCAGGGTGGACTATGTACATAGAAGACGCCTTCCATGGAAATGACCATTCATCTGTTGTTGTTGATGATGATGATGATACACAGGTAAAAGAGACTTATGATGGTTATGAGAACGATGATGGTGATAGTAGTGATGATGGAGAAAATGAAGAGAGTGATGATTCAATGGCTTCTGATGCATCTTCGGGGAATAGCAAACAGTTTCCGAAGAACACCAGCAAACATGCAGCTAGGAAGAATGGTTCTAAACAAGTCTACCTTCAAAAACGCCAACACACAGACAAAACATTCAGCAACGAAGGAGAAAAATCAGACCTCAAAGCTAGAACAAGAGCAAGCGCAGCTAGTCGAGTCCAAAGTAGAGGCAAGGTGAGCAAAACCAAATAATACTCATGGAGAAGAAGATATGGGGGTTCACAAAGAATCCCAATCCTGTAATGAAAAGAGACGTTTCAGGTCTCTCACCAATCTTGTTGTTTGCCTTTAATAAGCCATGTGTAGGTAGTTGCATTGTTTTCTTTTGCCGGAGTATGTTTTTTTGGTAGATGCTGTCCCAAATAAGTTATCTGCACGGTTCTCCGTTGGAACCCTGTTATATGATATGTACCTTGTTCTTCAGAGATTTCCCTCGAACTCAAAACAGAGCATATCCTGATATGCATGTTCAACACAGGAGCCATCAAGATTCAATTCTTGGGAGAAAAACCATCATTTCCTGATTAATCCTCAACAGTGACCAATTAATCAATCTTTAGCATTGCAAAGCAAACATTAGTTATAAAATACTAATAATCTTGATCCGAGAACAGGAAACGTTCATGGTAGAGGACAAAGCAGTCCATGACAAAACAGGAGTTTCTTAGGTTGCCAATTGTTTCTATGATATGTGGCCCAAGTAGCTAACAGCAGAGCTTTGCTTGCTAACAAAAAGTTCTGCTACTTTCAAGAGCTTCACATGTGTCTTTTACAAGACAACAAATTGCAATCATTCAAAATCTGTCATTTTCTATTACTACAAACTCTTTATAACCACTTCTTAAGAAACTAGTTGCACATCAGGAAAGAAGTTATTAGAAAAGATCAGAAGTGAACCTGTTTTGATTTCTTTCCCACGTTGTCAACACAGTTGCACCCACTTGTAACAGTAAATACAAGTATTACCCATCAAAGAAAGTTAAACAAACATGGCATATTATCTATCACGAGAACAATAGTAATTGCATTTATAGTAGCTCAAAGAACAGTTTAGGAAACGGTGCAATTTGTAACAGTATTATCCATCAGAGAAAGTTAACCATACATGACATGCTATCCATTATTAAGAGAACAGTAATAATTGCATGTATGCTCAAGAAAAAGTTTAAGAAACGGTGCCTGAAAGTTATACAAAGATAGAGACAAATCCTTACTAGAGCAATTCAACTGATTGCTTTATCGCCCTTGATATAAGAAGATGCAGACTGATCCTGGAAATCAAAAAGATGGTTAATTTTTATCGACCGTGCTCTAGGTTACCATTGCAAAGTATTAAGCTAATGAGGCACAATAAATGAGAACAGAAAAGAACATAGCTGGCAACTTTCCAGAAGAGGAAGACCCTCACGTTGATGTTATTCTCAGGTCGCTTTCGACTTTTGTAATCTCCAATCCATCCTAATGCACGTAGGAGCAATTAACAGATAGACTGAAAACGAAAGATGGGCCGTCCCAACCTAATTATATGACCCACAAAACGTGAGATACATGAGAGAATGTTGCTTAGTAAATGCATAAAACACTGAACTTGGTCTACGAATTTCACCTTCAGGAAGATTGAAGGACCAGACGAGTTCAACAAGTAAAGGCGAAGAACCAGCATTTGTGTCAACAATCGCATGTGCACGTTCCATTTCCAGTCGACAGTGACATCAAGAACGATTAGTAAAAGCATTTGGACTACCAAAGATGAGGCAACAGTATCTTAGTACAACAAACACCCACCAATTATTATTGCCTTGCAAAACAGTACCATTAGAAAACAAAAACCAAATGTATATCTGAACACTTTGTCTCCAAGCAACCGAGTCAATAACCAATCAAAGGTTCCAGGATCACAAGAGAGCCTATCTGAAATCCAACCAGCAAATCCTATAAAAAACATTCCTAAAATTCCTCTATTTCAGAATTATAATGAATTAAGAAGAAAATCTTCACATACAGAAAAAGTTCCAGTCCTAGCCTCACTCAGTTTCAGATCTTAATGTTTCATGGACTACCAAAGCATCGAGAACCTGTAAGCAAGAAATAGCAGACTTTACCTTTTCTTTTCTCCCTCCCAGACTGCTACCGCCTTCAGCATACACAATCTATCTTGAAGAAGACCAACGATTTTCTAGTCCTATAGAAGGCTTCTGATGCCCAGACACTATTCCTGGGATCCTCCAACAGCACGAACACTAATGGATTCTAATATACAGAGGATGTGGTTTGCACCGCCCCTTGATGGACACTACTGAAAACCCAAAAACAGAACATAAACATCACCTGCTAGTAGTAAGTAGTGAAATAAGCTGGAGAGTGAAGAAAAAAGTGGTAAAAATGGCAATGAAGATCTGCACATTCCGGAGTTAGGACAGGCTGTAATGCATCAGTCTTGGACTAGCAACGTATGCCACTGTCACTGTATATTTCTAGTTTTGGTTGCTTTTAAATTTATAATAATGAGGACAACACCGTAAAATAAGCAATTTATGTATCAAATGATAGTCTCACATAGTCACATTTCAAATAAAAAACAAACTCGGTCATTAATCAGAACTCGTACAATCTAGCATTTAAATTCATCTTTGAATAGGCAGATAGATACAAGAAACAAAGCAATGGAAGAAGCTCCAATATCAAGAAATGGATACCAGTCATGGACTGCAGGAAAGATACTTAAATGCTCTGTGGCTCTAAAAGTCTTTGATGAGCAAGAAAGAATGCAGCAACACATAAAGAAAAGAAACACTCATCCTCTGCTGAGCACAATATCACATGTCAAAGACCTTCAAACTTGGTAAACACAAAACAGCACAAGAAGAGTCAATAACTGCTTGTTATCGCCCAGTGATCAAATCTTGATTAACCACAAGAATTATTATTAAGATCCCAGACATCATATAATAAGGAATAAGGAGAATCACTGAAGCAAAAAAACAAAAGAAAAGGTTGTAATTCAGGATTTATTCCCTCCATTTCTGGATTCTTATGAAGCCACTATATTACCCGCCAAAAGAGTATTTCTTCAACTCTTAACTACCAAACGACAATGCTCTCTGACAGCCACCAGTTTCTTCGTACTGATTTAAATCCGATTTTATTTTATTTCCTCAAAATCAAAGAGTAAAAAAAGCTAATAACGTTCTCCGTTTATCCACAGCCACACACACAAAACACACACTTTATCCCAATTCAGGGAAGAAAAACAACTCATCCCTTTTGTCTGATTTCATAAAATCGAAGCAAAAAAAATCGACACTTTAACAAGAAATAGTGTTATACCATGCTTCTCGGAGGCACAATCTCCACTCCTCCAGCTTCTCTCCGGATAAGGTCCACCTTAAACCCACAAAACGCAGTCACACAGTCATCACAAGCAGCGTTCCCAGCTGCAATGCAACGACAACCACCAAGCTACTCAATCAGCGACGAAGACCTCAAGTCAAGAGGCTTTCTCCTCCGTCGCACCGCGGAAGGACTAAATCTAGATCAGCTGAATTCAGTATTTGTAGCCGTAGGATTCCCACGGCGTGACACCGCAAAGATCGAAGTGGCGCTGGAGCACACAGACGCGTTACTATGGGTGGAGTACGAGAAGACGCGGCGGCCTGTGGCGTTTGCGAGAGCGACGGGTGACGGAGTATTCAATGCGATCATATGGGATGTGGTTGTTGATCCGTCGTTTCAAAGCTGTGGGCTTGGGAAGGCGGTGATTGAGCGGTTGATTGAGGATTTGCAAGCTAAAGGGATCTGTAACATTGCTCTGTATTCGGAGCCCCGAGTTCTCGGGTTTTATCGCCCGCTTGGGTTCGTCTCTGACCCGGATGGGATCAAAGGAATGGTTTTTATACGCAAACAGAGAAACAAGAAATGAAAAGTTTCAAACTTTATAAATTTAATTTCGTAAAATTCATAGATTACAATATCTTTTTAACAACACTTTGGTGTACAAGCTGTCTCTTCGTCTTCAATAATCATTAGTTCGTTCAGTTCTCTGTACGGATTCTGCAGAGAACTAAAAAAAAGTTAGCATTTTTGAAACAATTGTTTGAGTTTGGTTGAAGATTTGCTTTTGAGGAGATTTCAATTACTTGATTTTGATGGTCAAGAAGAAGCGGCTTTGGCATGGTGGAAGAAGGCGACGGAGCAGAGGATTGAAGCGATGAGCGCGAAGAACCCTAATCCGACCATTAGAGAGATTCCGGCGACTATCAGATCCATTGCCGTCTGCAAGCTTATGAGCATCATCGTCGTCTTATTCTCCTCTCTTTGAATTTTATCAGCTACAATAGGATCTCTTGTTTGGGGATAAATTTACTAATGATTCAAAGTTAGAAGTGAAGCCTCGCATTGACACGTTTATGAGATGACCAGAGCTTATGACATTTAGCGCAATTTCAGAGACCCTCGTGTATACATACGTACACAGATAGATATATATACACGTTGAGTAATGTTTGGAGATAACATTAAATGTGACTTCTCATGTTAATGTATTTTTCTATAGTAAGAGAGTTTTCTATGACTGCTTCCTACTTCCTTGGAAAGTGGCTTCGAGTTCTTGGCATGATTTGAGGAAATCTTGGCAGCTTTCTGTCAGGGAACATGGAGGAGGTAGCTGGAGGAGAAGTAGGCAGTGGTGGATTAATGATTGGTCTGGGTTTGATTTCTTTTATCTCAACTACAACACAATCCGATGTAAGAAAGGTTTGAGCCACTGATGCAGCGTGTTCCAAGCAACATCTCACAACCTGTGTTTCAGTTTCCAGACAAAAAAAAAGCTAAATGAGAAGGTGAAACTTAAATCAACTGAGGTCAATGCAGTGAAACTACTTAGTTATGTGGTTACCTTGGTTGGATCGATTATACCAGCCAACATCAGATCTTCATATTGATTCTTTGCAGCATTGTAACCGTACATAGTGTTTTTGTTTGATAAGACCTGCATATTTCAGAGTTAGTTATTAGAAGTTAGGGCTGGTTCTAGATAGCTGACATTACCTTTTCTATGACGATGTTTCCATTTGTGCCTGCGTTTTTGGCTATGAGTCTTATGGGGTAGCTCAGTGCTTTCTTGAATATGTCAGCTCCAATCTGCATATAGTGTTACAAGAAAAATAAAGCATCTTCTAGGATTTTAAGAAATGCTGATTGCTATATTGTGATGTTCCACTTCCATGGACTAAAATCAAGTACCTTCTGTTCTGTGTTGTCAAGGGTGTCTTTGATTCTGTCCACTTTTGTAGCCAGTCGCAAGAGGGCGCAACCGCCACCAACTACAATCCCTTCTTCAATTGCTGACTAAATTCTGAGATATCAGATTTCTTGGACTCACAATTTCTGAACCATGGGAATCACATGGTTTGACTGGAGTTACCTTGGTTGCATTCAGGGCATCTTCAACCTTTAGCTGTTTATCCTTCAACTCAACTTGTGTCTGTGCACCTACCTAAGGCCTTTGGAAGTTAGTTCAACATGATCAGATTGTTTTTTGGTATCAGTGCTTTACAAAGTCACCTGGATTATAGCAATTCCACCAGATAATCTGGCTACTCTTTCATTGAGGATCTTCTTCTGAAAATTCTCCTCGGTGTTCTGAGTTACACATAAAGATCATATGAAGACAGGAGCATCCACAAATGGTGAGTAGAAATGTCATCTAACGTCTTCTCAATTTATTTCAGGTTCTAGTTATATATAGTGCCTTGGGGAAAGTCATTGGTTAACAAAACGAGTAAGACATGGATGATGGATGATAGAAGGACCTGGATAAGATTTTTAATCTGAGTAACCCTTTCTTCGACTGCTTTCTGGGTGGCTCCATTTGTAACAATCAGTGTTGAATCCTTAGTAACAAGAACCCTTTTTGCTGTTCCTAAGACCTCCTTTCCAGCCTTTTCTAGGCTCAGTCCCATCTCATCTCTGATCACGGTAGCTACGCAGACAGAATAACCCAGCGATTCAGTACTAACAGTGGAAAAGTAATACTCAAAGCAAAAGTGGCGTATGTTATGCCTTGTGTGAATATGGAATTTGACTACCTCCAGTAAAGATTGCAAGATCATCCAAGCAGTGACTCTTGCGCTCTCCAAAGGCAGGAGCCTTAATGGCTGCCACCTTCAAGTTACCTTTTAGTTTGTTCCTAATAACAGGAGCAAGAGCGTCTTGTTCGATATCTTCGGCAACTATAAGGACTGGAAATTCCTCTTTCACAGCAGAATCCAATATCTTGAACATATCTTTTGGATTTGTTATTTTCTTATCAACCAAAAGCAGCTAAAACAAACAATGCAGGTATATTCTTAGCCATTGGTATTCCAAGCAAACCAGAAAGAAAAAAACTGAGAAGTCTTGGTTCAGACCTTGCAATCATGGAATTCAGCTTCCCTCTTCCTTCGATCAGTAACAAAATATTGCGATAAATAACCACGATTAAACTGCATTCCTTCCACAATCTCAAGATTGTTCACGAGGTATCTTCCTTTCTCTATTGTTACTACACCAGCCCTCCCTACTTTTTGAAAAGCATTGAAAATCATGTTTCCAACTTCGTAATCATTCCCCGCACTTACTGCTGCAACATCAGCAAGCTCATGATCTTCAATCTGCAAACACAAGGTTCGCGGTTTTCTATTAAAGTCAGCTCCATTCTCATTCAGTACTCTCAAGGTTTAAGAGGCATGGATCTTTCACCTCTCTGGACATTGACTTAAGCTCTAAAACAAGAGCTTTAGCGGTTTTCTCAATACCACGGGCAACTTGAATAGGATTTATTCCAGCAGAAACCACCTAAAGACAAGGAATGAGACAGGCTCACAAGTAGAAAGCGCATATGGTCATGGATGATCCAATTGGTCATAATGGAAATTGTATACCTTAATACCTTCAGTAATAAGGCCATGAGCAAGAATAATAGATGTAGTGGAACCATCACCCGCAAGGTCATTTGTCTTGGCACCCGCTTGCCTCACAAGTTTCACTCCAACATTCTCTAAAGGGTCCTCCAATTCAATCTACACCACAAAATAATAAAAAAGAAGAAGCTAATCATGGTTTTGGCATTTCATCAAGAAAGTAAAACAGAAGAAATACAAGGAAATGAGAAACCTCTTTGAGAACGGTTTCACCGTCATTGACGATCTTGGGAGGTCCGTACTTGTTCTGCAACACCACGTTTCGTCCCTTTGGACCCAATGTCACGCCCAATAGCTTAGCCACCATATCTGCACCTGCCTTCACCACCATTTTCCCCATAAGAAAACGAAATTCTGTAAAAAGACTCCAAGATAAGAACGAGAAAACCTGAAGCTTCTTGGTGACAGAGCCATCACGGTTAAAGTGAACTTCTTTTGCAGCAGCTCTTGCTCTAAGGACAAAATTCGAAGAAGAAGAAGAAGAAGAAGGCTTTTTCCGGAAAGTTCGATCAGCAAGAGGCAACGCAGAGAGTGCAGCCTGTGAGGAAGCCATTGCAGTTAAACCGAGCAATGACTACAAACAGAACTATCAGCTTCTGTGAGTAACAAGATTATAAGGTGGGAAAACAATGTCATATCTCTTCGTATTCTTTTGGACTTTTGTGTTGGACCAGTTGTAGACTTGTAGTTTACCAATTTTGTTGGTTCGGGCCCAAACAGAATGAGGAGCGTAACCCATATAACACTACTCGATTTAATTTTTCAGGTAAACCAAGATACATTAGGAACATGTCTCAATTAGTCAGTCATTTGCAAATTTTTCAAAGAATCGTCGGATTCTACAGTTCCATTATATAATAAGGTCCCGTATGAATAAGTCTTTGTCTTGTTATTTCAACTGATGTTGGAGATGCTTGTTGGGTCTCGTATGAATAAGTCTTTTTTTTTGTTCTGATGTTAGGTGATTCTTGTTGTATCCTCCCCGTTACAGAGAGGCTTGAAATATCTCCAGTGAAGGTATATAGGAGTCAATGGCCATCTCTCGTTAAAGGTTTTTTTATTCTGTGTCTAAAATAATGCGTCTATATTATGTTAACGCACAAAATGACCAGTTCAAGGCAGTTTTATTGGTGCACTGTAAATTTTGCTCAATTTTTTAATGTGAGCTTTTAACATTCAGATTCAACAGATTATGTAAAGCAAGATTTCAATTGTCATCACTATCATAAAAGAATTGAAATGCCAAAAACAAACAAATATATCTTCAAAAGCTAAGCCATATATCAAAGCAGAGTGCTAAATATGGCATGGAAAAACTCATAGAAGAAACATCATATAGCACCATGCTCGTGTAGTCTGAAACATTAAAACTGTTAAAACAGACTATGATTTTCTTAGGTGCTCATCAAACAAACTTGAATCATTCTCAGGAAAAACAACACCAAACAGGAAAGAAAAAAAAAACAAATACAAAACGGATCGGAACAAAAAAAATAGAAAACAGAGCAATTCAGAGAACTTTGAAGGTTGTATAATAATTATATCCACATGAATTATGAATTCAGAGGCTAATTTTCTCATCATCAATGCTCTGTTTCCTTCCAATGCAATCAACAAAACATTATGTAATGAGTTTCAAATACACTAACACCAACACAACATACCAAAGAAAATATATATATTCTTATTGGCCAATACGCATTTCTGAGAAGCTCAACTACTGAACATCCCCAACAAGGAAACGTAAAAGCCAATATATTGCACCAATTGAGTATTCCCTTTTCTCGAATTTGTTCCTTGCATCTATAAAAACTCGAAGATGCAAGGGGCTATACGGTGCTTTACACTACTATTGCAATTACAAAAAAAAGATCCAACCTTTCTTCAACAGAAGAGAAGTGGGTGAGCAAAAAAACAATAAACTTTCTTATACGATCCTAATACAATAAATCGATGAACGATGATATTGTTGTTGGCGGCTGTGTTGGATTAAGGGAGGAGGGTTCAGAGAAGCATTTATAAGAGAAGACAGCAACTTGGTTGGTTAGGTTAAGAACCGGGTCGGGTTTTTTCAATTTTAATTGTTGATTATTTACATTGTTTCTGTCGTTTTGTCATTTAAATAACTAGGGACTACCATGTCGTTTTTTACTGTTGATGGTTTAAGAAAAGTTGAAGGGCCGCGTTGGTATGTTACTTTTGGGCCGAGTCCAATTACTAAATATTTATGGGGGTATGAATGATTTTTGGAAAAAAGATGGCTGGCTACACCAACTATCGAGCAATGTATGGTCACACATGCCAAGTATCATATTGTATACTCAACTACACGAACTAGATGTATTGCATGACCACATGCATCAACTATACAACGTCATTTAGTCAACACCATAGACATAAAATTCTGGTACACCGGTCAACTGACTCTGGCGTTGACCGGTGTTGACTCCGGCGTTGACCGTTTTTGACCCAAAAAAAATTCCAAACTTTTTTTTATTGTTAAAAAAACTAAAAACTGTAATTATTTTATAATGAATTGTTATGGTTTTGTATACTTTGAAAAATATAATCTTAGGAAAAAATTGTAACAATAATTTTTGTATTTAAGTAAATCACATAATAAGTTAATGGTTTTGATTGACAATGTAAAAATAAGTAATTCCTTACTAATTCATAAGTTTTTCCAGTTTTAACTTAGATTCTAATATCTTGAGTTATTTTACTATTAGTTTAGCTATAAATTTAAAAATAACTAATTATAATAAGAATGAATACATTAAAGATATAAACAAAACTAGTGTTTAGATATTGAATATATAAAAACAAAATCAATATTTTTTTAATTAGTTTTTTATGGTTTTGTATAATGAAAAATATATAATCTTAGGAAGAAAATTGCTATGATGATTTTGTATTTAAATAAATCAAATAGTAAGTTAATATTTTTATTAACAATATAAAAATAAGTAATTTCCTTACTAATTCACATAATTTTTCTAGTTTTAATTTAGATTTTAGTATCTTGAATTATTCTACTATCTTGAATTTTTCTAGTTTTAATTTAGAGTTTAATATCTTGAATTAAATACAAAATCATCTTCGTCATTTTCTTCGTAAGATTATATTTTTAATAATATAATATCTTGAAAGCGGTTATAGTTTTGTATAATTAAAAATTAAAAATTAATTCTAGTTTTTAGTTTTTTTAACAATAAAAATAAAATTATATAAAAAAAGTTTGGAATTTGTTTTTTGGTCAAAAATGGTCAACGCCGGAGTCAACACCGGTCAACGCCAGAGTTAGTTGACCGGTGTACCAGAATTTTATGTATATGGTGTTGACTACATGACGTTATATAGTTGATACATGTGGCCATGCATTACATCTAGTTCGTGTAGCTACGTGTACAATATGATACTTGGCATGTGTAACCATGTATTTCTCTATAGTTGGTGTATTCAGCCATCTTTTTTCCATGATTTTTTTTGACAAATCCTATAGTACTTGATGAGAATGGGATCAGTAATTGATCTTTATATATTGACTTTTAATTAAACTAAAATGTACGATTGTTACTTGTATTAAGGATCAAGGAAATCTTGAAAGATATGGGATTGATAGATAACTTCATCTTCAGTTTGAGATGTTGCTTCAGATTTGTTGAACTCACTGTGAAATACTATATCACTAGCACATACACAGCAACACCAGCACATACTATATCACTATCGTTCAAAATCTTGACTAATGGCATGTAAATGCTGTTATTCAAATCATTTTCTTAAATCACACTAAAATTATAATGTTCGTGTATGACTTTATGTTTAGTGATATCATAAGAAGCTCTGCTTTTAATGGAAGCGTGGTTTATAGGTATTCAGAAACTTTAGTTATTCACTTTTTGTTTTTTGTTTTTGGTTTCCTTAAACTTGTTTTTATAAGTCTCCATCTCTAAAAAAGACATCAACTCTCTTTCTCTTTATTGCAGCAGAAACAGAACCGAGTTCAATAAATCTTTTGGTAAGATAATATAACTGTTACAAAATACTATTTGAAACTTTTGTAGAGAAAAGTGGCACAGAATCTTAAATTCTGACACTTTTTACCACAAAAATAATTATTCTCTTTCTGAATTCTTTTTCATTTTTTTTCTTTCTCTCTAAATTGAGTTCGTACTTAAAGCATGGTCCTTTATCTTCCGTTGACTGATTCAACCACTCCTTTTTCTTAACTCTCGCTGATTTGCTCACTTCAAAACTCCCTCAGTGTTCTTGTGTAAAAAAAAACATATGAGTTTTGTTTGATAAAAATTTGAGCTTTACTAAATTAGAAGACATGGACATGAGTGACAAAGACGAGTTTGCTGCTAAGAAGATGGATTTGGATTGGAGAATCTCTGTCTCTAACCCAATAGTTTCGTACCCTCCGGAGAATCCAATGCCGGGTCCTTCTCAGATGATGGATTCATTCAGGCAAAACCTTTGGCATGATGGTGGTGGTTTCAATGTCCACACAGACAGAGGCACCTCTTCCAGAGGTAATGTTGATAGACCTGTTGAAATGGGTTGGAACATGGCTCAGTTTCCTGCAGATTCTGGATTCATAGAGCGTGCTGCAAAGTTTTCGTTTTTCGGATGTGGGAGTTTTGGTGAAATGATGATGAACCAACAATCTCTTGGAGGTCCACAATCCACTGGCCTGTTTGTTCAGGATACACAGAATCAGATTGGGGTTGCAACTGGATCCAACCAAGTTGATGGACCTCTTAAGGATGCAACTAAGGTAGTGAAAGAAAATGGATCGAGTAATGTATCAGAAGATTCTCAATCTAGTGGAGGCAATGGTCACGATGATGCTAAATGTATGGAAATATCTTCCAAGAGGTTTAACGCAAAGAAGAGGAAGAGGACAGGGAAGGTCAGGATTTGCATTTTGCAGTACTCTTCTGTGTTCTGTTTTGCCTTACGCTGATTATGCTTCTGTTGGTAGGATTCTGAACATAGAGGTCAACAATCTGGTGAAGAAGAAGAAGAAGATAAAAATGAGAAGGATGAACAAAGTCCAAATTCAAATGCTAACAAGACTAATAGTGGGAAACAAGCTTCTGATACTTTGAAGGATGGGTATATTCACATGAGGGCAAGAAGAGGCCAAGCCACAAATAGTCACAGTCTTGCTGAAAGAGTAGGCATTATACTTTTCATAGTTGAATCAAAGGGAATATCCTTCTTTCTTGTTTAGGTGTGGTATATGATTTGGTTAAACTTATAATTTATAGGTAAGGAGAGAAAAAATCAGTGAAAGAATGAAGTTCCTGCAAGATCTAGTACCGGGTTGCGACAAGGTAAGTCCTTGTCTTAGTAGGTGTTGATGTCTACACGTAGAAAGAAAGCTAGTTGCTATATAAATGGAGAGTTGGATTTGTCGTGTAGGTGACCGGGAAAGCAGTTATGCTCGATGAGATCATTAACTATGTGCAATCACTTCAATGCCAGATCGAGGTTTATCTTTGTTTGCTCTTGGAATTTACTATAATCATAGTTTTCGTTCTTAACATATCACTTGATTAGCAATCTCACATTGTGTTAGTTACTTCTTTCATGTATTTCAGTTTTTATCAATGAAGCTTTCGGCTGTGAATCCTGTGCTCGATTATAATCTCGAAAGCCTCCTTGCAAAAGATGTAAAATATATTGGGAACCAACATGTATAATTATTTTGTCATTTGAAGAAGTTTACTTTCATATAATGTTCATTTCCTTTCTCCATGCAGGCCCTTCAAGTACCTGCCCCGATACTTCCCCAAGACATGTCGATGCTATATCCTCCACTATCGCATCACTCTCAAAAAGGATTCATGCAACCAAACATTTCTTCAATGTCTATATTGAATGGAGGATTAATACGGCAGGTATATAGATATTTGGCTGAGCCTTATACCTCAACAACAAACATATCTTTGCAGAATCATTTCTTTCTCTTGCATTCATCTGATCTTGTTACTGACTTTTAAACAGGAAAGACATGGATACGAAAGTGATCAGCATAATGTTGTCCACATGAACCATGAAACTGATACTGCACCTAATCATGAAGACGCAACAGGTGAAAATAAAATCCAGATCCTTTCCTATCTGTGTTAACCGGATACTTAAAACAGCTAAAGCTATTCATGTTAATCTCACCTTACAGCCAACAGGAAGGTGGAGCCGTAGGTGTTTCTTTGTACTCAGCTTTAGTTGCTGTAATAGCCTGAGCTGCGGTTGAGAATTATATTAACTTTGAACAGAAGAGTGAAAACGAAACAGAGGAGGAAGCAGATCTTGTCTTTGTAATCTTAACAGCTCTAGGAGAAAGATTCGAGAGTAAGAATCAACAACATTGTGTAATGAATAGCTGTCTGCTTCTGTTGTGTACATATGTACATGTAGGGAAGAGAAATGCTGATGTTACATATGTTTGCAACGTGACCCACAATCTTCAAACAGATCAAGATTTGCTATGTAGTTCAGCTAGTTTTTCAGAAAACGTGATTGCAATGACCGAGATAAATCGGAATTAGCTCCACTTGACAATCAAATCCTCCAACACCATGGAATCTGATTCTAAGGTCAAGAATCTCAATTTGATGAACGATTGGAACAGGGAAGCTAAATGTGCCGTGCGTGCTCAATAGAAGCCATCATTGGCGTTTAGAGATGTTGACAAGAACAGTTGGAGTAACCTGTGCAAGATTAGCCTTGTCTAAGATGATCAACTTCACTTTATGATTGAAATACCAAAATGAAATGAAGCTCTCTATTTTCTTTTCTTTTTTCCAATCTACAAGTTATTTATATAACAAAAGAGGTTTTAAGAAGTTAAAAAAATGATAAGAAACAAATGACTAATTTCTCTCTGCATCTCTCGAGTCTCCTCCACACTAAAAGCTGAAACGAAAGAATATTTACACTAAATTTAAATCACTCTTCTCTACTCTTTTACGTGTTTCCACCGATCCAGTCTGAGCAAAGCCCTTAGAGAAACGACTTTACACGACCCTTTATTCTGTTTCTTCTTCAGTCTCTGACATCTCAAAACTGACACGAAGTTCCCAGCCTCTGCCTCTGCTTCTGTCCTAAAGTTATCGACTTGCGCTTTTCAAATGCTGGATAAAGCAGCTCCTGATATTTCTCCAGGAACATCGTCCAATCCTCTTCACTCATATCTGCCAGCTTCACAAAGCTAGTGCTTGAGGGGATCTGTTCATCCGCACTCCTATGCGCAGATGATGCATATGCACTTTCCACTCTTGCTCCTGGGTGTTTCTGATACTTCTGGCTCTTCTCGCCAAGAAGAGTGCTTTTGAGAGACATTGAAAGCTTGGTAATCGTCGGCATTTTCTCTATATCATCTCTATCATTCTCTTCCACCTCTTCGTCTTCTTCATCTTCTTCTTCTTCCTCCCCCTCTGTTGTTTCTTCTACCTTTGACAACAGACTACGAGTATTTCCAAAAGTGAGTCCGAGTGGGAATGCTAGTTTTTTCGTAGAATCTGTTGCTTCCTCACAATCTATATCGAACTGAAATTCAACATCATTTCCCAAGTCTGATCTTGGGGACTCAGCTTCCTTCTCTCCTATCAAACTCATAGCCTCAAGACAAACGACTTCAATCTCACTCGGCTCCTCGTCTCCAGGGTGAACCTCTCTAGTCATCATCTCACCAATTTCGGCCAAACATAGACCATTAGCAGCAGCTTCTTTGAGAAAAATTGTGCAGAGAACTAGAACACGGAGACTGGCCTCTCGTACCATTGGAAGTTCCCTTCGCAGCATCTCACAATCTCCAAAAGGATCCAGATTTGCTATATACTTCAGCTCATCTTCAGAGAACGGGATTGATGCCTGTGGCCAATGAATCCACTCAAAATAAGGGTCCTCTAGAGTTTCAGGCAAGCAAAGACCATGATCGATTGGAACTAGCTCCACCTGGCCAAACATTCCATCACCATCTAGTTTCTTAACCAGAAGGTTCCCAGAGTGCCTGTCTGTATTTAAGATTCTAATGTCAAGAATCCCTATACGGTGTACAGCTGAAACAGGAAAATTCGATGTTCCATGCTCGCTAGCATCATAGTCATGAGGTATGAACTGCTGCAAGGAAGCAATCTTGCTCACCAACATCTTCTCCATGGGCTTGCTTGCCTTCACTCCATCGTTGACATTAAAGATAGAGTGAGTAATCTTCACAAGAGCAGTGGGAGGAACATTTGCAAAATGCTCCTTGTCAAGGAGATAAGCCGCAACTTCTCTGTATCCTGTTTCCCCAACCCGTACTGAACGCTTCAACCCAGGTTGTCCAAGCGCCTTACCAACAAAACCTTTTGGGTTATTAGGAGCAAAAGGCTCCTCATCAGTTGGTTTAACAATTGCAACACTCTCTCCACGGCTGTTCTTAAAGTAATAGGCCCCTCCAAGCCCACTATGAACAGCAACAGGATCAATGCCCCTCTTCACTGCTTTTGTAATATCCTTTGCCATTTGCCTCACAAAGGAGAAAGAAACAGAGTTGCCAAGAATTTCAATAGGACTGCTCTCATCTCTGCGCTGCTGAAGGTCAGCCCTCATTGGGGAAAGGCATGGAGTGGATGAACTCCTATGAAAATTGTTCCGAGTTAGAAGGAGAGGAGAATCACGTCTAACAGCAGTAAGATCATTGTTAAGCACCAAATCCCCAAAGGTCAACGAGCTTTCCTCGATGGGGAAATTCAGAGCAACCTGCAACTTCCTTTTCACTGTGTGCGCATTATCACTACGATCCAACTCCAACCCCAGTACACAACCAGTCTCTGTTTGAACAAACACTCGCCTACGACCCACAGGTGACTTCATTCCTACCTTGTTAAAATCACGAAATTCCCCGCTCAAGGGACTCTTTACAAGTGCCACTGCCATTTGCGTCTGAACAGGACTATCAAGCTTACGTGACATGAGTGTGGAGATCAACTCAGCAAAAAAAAACACAGCCTTTGCGACTAAACGATGGCTGCACAAATACGTTCTTCCCAACTTCAGGACAGGTGACTCAAATCCAAGAACAAATATACTCTTTAAGCAGTCAAACGACCATTAAACGAACCAATCCTCGAACTCTAGACTCGTGCTTCCATACTTAAAAACCTAGATGACAGGAACATAACAATCTGCAAAGAATAGAATCAAACACGAGTAAGAATACAAAATCAAAAACTTTAAGACCAACATAGATTCCTGAAAAATAACTAATATCAGTTCATCTATAACTAAGAAAACGGGAAGCAACAAAAGCATTTGATGTATCTTCAACAAAAAAAAAATAATAATAATAATTGTAAATGAACCTGAGATTTATGTTCTTAGTTAAAAAATCAACAACATTGAAACATTAAAACAAATCGATATGGGATTTGAAGGAGTAACTGAAATCTCAGAAATAGAAATCAAATCAGGAAACAACCAAAAACCCTAAGACATCGTCGAGAATCCATTTTCTCTATAAAAAAAAAAAAAGACAAACAAAATCTACAGAAACACGAACAGCAAGAGAAGACTCACCACCAGACTCGACGACGTATATGACCAATGACGCGTCGGCGCGAGAAAGGAAAAAAATAATAAATGAGCTAAGATTTAACACAACCAACGGAGAAGACGAGAAGCTCGAGAACAAAATCAACTCGTAACGAGTCGACTCAGGTAGGTCTCGCTTTGAAGAAGCTGTTTTTTTTTTTCTTTCTTTTTTTCTCTTCGTCCTATCTCTTTCTCTCTCACCACTTACTCAGACATTTAACCTCTTCCCACCGCTTAACCAAAGTGGCTGGTTAAAAACTAACCATGGTTAAAGAGATCCCCTCGAGAAGAAAATACAAAATCAGGCTAAGTAAAAGAGATTTGTGCTCTTTCTCTCTTGCTTCGTAATTTTTGGAAGTGTCTAGAACGGAAGATCAGGACCGTTGGTTGTACATGATATAACGTTGGCGAGATGTGGAGCGTACGATTAGAGGCACCGGCCTTTTAGGAGAATGATGACGTGGACATTCAAAAGTGGATTAGAGCTTTGACGTGGCTTTGGTCAAACAACAAAAACATCTCAATCAACAAAATTTTAGGATTAAAGAGTAAAACATAAATAATAATTAATTATTACCAAAACTACCCTTTATTTTGATAGGACACCAATTATGTTCGCAAATTTGGAAATATGCAAAACAAGTGTCATCAAGTGTGTGTGTGTGTCATTGATGATGCCGACATCGCTAATTTAGACTGACGTATTCTCCAAGTGATTTCGACGTATCTAAAACCAAATTTGGAATGGTTTTAAAGCAAAGATCATAGAAAGCATAATCGTGGTCACCTTGTTTTATTCTTGTCGAAACACCATTATCTGATGTTTCCATCATTAGACTAGACAATTACTGCAAATGTATTGACTTAAAATCATTGAAAAAGAGACTTATACATTTGATATACTGTATATCGGTATTTTATTTTATACCAATGAATATGTGCGACTCATAATGTTTTTTTCGACTTCTTTCCCACAATTTCACTTTGCGTGATGGAAATTTGTGTTTGTTATTTAACTAGAAAAATTATATCGAGACTACTGAAAAATGTATCGGATAAGCTATATAATTAACTAAGCTAGGCTCGACATTACATAATTTCTTCAAGAAATTGTTATACTATAATGTTTTTCTTGTGGGGTTTGCATGCATGCATCCTTAAAAACGTGATTCCTTGATTTGACAAAAAGAATCCTTAAAAAAACCTCTGAATCTGATTGGCACAAAAATGTATTGTACGATCGAACGTCTATAAAATCAACTACAGTTCTCTCTTACAACTCGCATCTTATTATAATTATCATTAACATCTCTGAAAATGGCCAAACGACGACGAATTATATATGTTTTCCTACATTAAAACTATAAGTGGATATTTCATATGTCGTATGTGTATATCGGAATCAAAATAAGAGAGACTAGTGATGGACCCGCATGTACGTGCGGGGTTATTTTTACAAAATTACGATTTTTTAAGTAGATGCTATTTTGGTAAAATTTTGTTATATGAGTATATTTGATAAACTATATATAGACATACAGTTGTAAAATATAGATATTGTATTACATAATACAATTTTAAAATTATTTAAATGAAAATGATAAGTGATATAACGTGTTTATTTTTTAAACTAATCAAAACATTTCTAACTGTTTGCTTAGACATGTTAAATCGGATTTGGGTTTAGCTTTAGTTTGAATTGTTTTATGTGTAGTTTATAATGGAAAACCCGTCATGTCCCTTTCCGTCTCGTCCTGACCCGTCCCGTCCCACCCCGCCCCGTCCCGTCCCGTCCCGCCCCGTCCCGTCCCGTCTCATA